TCATTTTTCTTCCTTTCGGCTATTAAAAATATTTAAAAAAAAAAATACTACAACGATAAATTGTCTTCTATACTGTTTTTTCTATGACAGTGTGTGTTTCCTCTAATCTGTCATGTTCAATCTTTTCTTTTTTTGAACATCTAAAATTTCATTAATCTTTTAAAATTTTGTACATAAATGTTGAAAATAATTGATGAATACAAATAAAAAGAGACGTTACCAAGTAAAATCTTTATTTTTGTATCATCGAAACACTTGCAAATAACTTGATACAATGATATACATGAGAGACCAAACTGTTACTATGTCCATTCTTCAATCATATACAAACTCTTCAGAGAACCGACAGATGCTTGTTTACAGCGACATCGCCGGAAAAGAACTCTACCATTGAAAGAAAAAGCGGTTACTGAGATAAACCGACTATTGGAAGCGGCCACACTTGAATGAAACGAACACCATCACAAACAATCGCTATAGTACACAACCATCAAGTCGTATGAAAAAGCCACCATAGATGGTATCCCAAACCGTTCATATGGTCCTCTAACGGTGTTGCTTAGACAACCAATATAATGTAAACCGCACATTAGATATGAGTAAAAACAGTACATTTTTCAACAAATCTACAATCACGTTCGGGATGGACACTATCATCTTACCAAATCCAAACATGATCTTGTCTACATGTGGAAAGCATAAGTTTCCTCTCCACTGATAAAATGAAACATTATCAACATCACGAACCCATCTCGTTGCACATGTTACTAACAACTTTCTGCTACCAATCTGATCTCAATGGTGGAATCGTTATAATTGAAGATGAATAGCACGACAAAGGCACATGAAACAACATAGTCCAACCCATGGAATGATTGGCATGGGTCTGTGTTTCGAGGCCGGTGAGAATGGCTAGTCCATATTCGATGATCACACCGATTGTGAACCACAACGCAACCCACCACATCAACAATTTCTTCATCTTGTTACAATTATACACCTTCGTTTCATGAACTTCATGAAATCGAGATTGAGACACTTAAAAAGAATTAGAAGAAGTATGGCCGACGTTGGTGAAAACTGGCTGCAGAGATTTTGGTTGTAAATGTTGTAATTGTTACTTTAATAATTATTTGAAAATAATTTTTCTGCAAAAAATATAAATTATAACATAAATCTGATAAAAAAATATCTAAAATAAATAATTTCCATTTATTTTTATTAGTTCATGTTTTGTATTTCATAAATACAATTCATCAAGAAGTGGAATAAACGGTAAAATATTTGGATTAAACACTCTATCTCTTGGATCATTTTTATAAATGATGTATTGCATCTTCAAATACTCTAAATAACTCTTCAAGTGTTTCCAACTCAAATCAGCTTTAAACCGATCGTTGATATAATGAAGAACATGTTGTCTCTGAAGAGAATTTAAACGAATATCGTTTTTATCCCGATTTTGGTTTTCTTTTATGATCACTTGTTGCAGTAAAACACATGTAGCCTCGTCCGACCACTTAAAAGCCTGAAAAATAAATTGTAATTGTAAATCTACTAATATTAAAGTATGAATTACTAGAGAAACAACACATAAATTATTGATAGCATACCTTATTTTTACGAGAAAATGATGACGATACCATATCTGTTGGTTTTGCAAACTTGAAATAACCGAAAATACTAATAAGTGTGAATAATTTCCCTTGAATTGCTTTTAAATAGAACACATAATCTCATAGTATTTATAGCTAATGATCTCTTTAAAACGTTGTTGATTATATTGTAGTTTTGAACTAGTAGTCACTAGTTTAGTCAATAACAAAATATTGATCTAGTCAATACAATAAACTCTTTTAGGCTTAAAATAGTATTAACTTACATTTATTTATTGTTTCAATTTTTTTGACTATAAACAAACAAAATATCATTCATTTTTTCTCAAAACTCGGTCAATCAAAAACAAAATGCATAAAAAAATTTTAAATGATTATTCCCAATGAAATATTGTTCTTTTCATTTATTTTGTGAAATTTTAATAATTTATTGATTTATATGAAAATGGATTTTAAAAGAATAGCAAAAAAACAATGATAGTTAATCAATCGATTTTTTTATTAATAAAATATATATTAATCTAAAAAGACATTTAAACTATTATGGGAAAGAAGAAAGAAAAAAAAAATATTTAAAATTATTAATTTCTCCAAGTAAAAGCCATCTAACAAAGTCTTTAGAAAAAATATAAAGACACAAAAATCATACTTGGTAAAAAAGAGTATTTAAAAACTTTTCTTATTTTTAAAGCTTTTAAGTCTCACGCCAAGCACCACCTATATAAAAATAATACAAAAACCTAATATCTCTCTCTTGTTCTCCATCGTCTTCTTCATCCCATCATCTCTCATTCGATGATTTTGCCTTATCTCCCTTAAACCGTGATTTTTTTTTGGGCAGATTTCATCGACAAGAAGGTAATTTAGTCCAATTCCTCTTTGTGTTTAGTTCTTGATGACTGAAATTTGGGGTTTAGATGAATTATTATTAATTTTGATTAGCGACATCGTTGTTCAGCCTCTGTAATTGATGGATTTATAAAATGGCTCAGATTCACGGTGAAAGAAAATCCGTGGCGTGGTGGTGTTAGTGACAGTGCGATGATGAAGAACAATCTGATCCTTGCTCATACCTTCTGTATCTCTCTGCGTTTTTCCGTTAAGAATCTCACATGATTCGAGGTTTTCATGAGCGTCTCCGTTGGCTCTCAAGCTACGATAGATGACTCTTTTGTTTCCTGCCCACGGACTCTCAATGTGTCTCTTCTTTTGATTTCCGATCATTTGAGTTATGGATTGAATGATCGCGATGCTACTTTTAACAACAATATTTCATGGATGGTCGCTTGTGGATACCGTAGATGGACAATGATGTTTTCATGGATAGTCAATATGTGGATGCTGTCTACTTGTGGATTGTCGTCATCCAAGAGAATATGCAGAGACCTCTAGCTAGTGTCATATCTTGAATATTTTGTTAACTTATAAGATTCATCAGAATGTTATGTCATAAAATATGTTTCGATCTACTAGTAAACCGTGTTGAATAGATCAAACACACAAAACAAATATCGATACTTAAATTGTTGATATAAAATTTTTGTATATATTCATAAGGACGACGAGATGGTTTGGATCAAATTTGTAAACGTTGCAAGTGATCAACTAGTTACACTTTAGCTTTGGCTTTAACTTCCTTGGATGCTACAAAACCTTTTATTCACATATGATTCGTCCATATCTAGCATCCACATATTACAATCCATACATGCCCATCCATCATACATGTACATCCTTGAAATGCCACATGTGAACCACAATCGACCCAACATCTATGATCCTATAGAACAACTCACCACCAGCACACAATCTCATCACCAAATACACATAGTTTCGATCCAAATTGACCTCAATCTAAAGTTTGATCTATTGTAAAATTTCTTCGATTGATTGACCTAATATGGTTTCTAGAGAAATAAGAAGACATAGAAAAAGTATCCTCACATTCTTCAAGTCATGCATCAGAAAACCAGACAAGGAGTATAATTGGGGTGAGACATAACATACAGTCGAAGGATTTGATCTCTTCTTCTCTGTTAAAGAAAAGGCCATGTCGTCTCCATTGATCCAAGCAAGCACTTACCGGTGTATCGCCAAAGAATAAGAAGAAGGCCGACGCAACAGAGTCGCGACGGGCCGAAGAAGAATATCAAAGCAATAGAGTCGCGGTGGAGGAGGGAAGAAGAAGAACGCGTAAAAAAAATTGACCTTTTTTTAGATCTATAACTACAACCACATGATCAGATTGAATCAAACATTTCATAATAAACCAGTTTAACTAAATCTAATTGTCTCTCGTTCAGATGGGGGGTGTTTTTGTCATTATTATTTTCAAACAGTAGAAAATTTTTCTCTTCCCTCAATAAGTGTCTATATTAAAAGTAACAATTACTTAGATAGACCCTTTCTCGTAAAATATTTATCAAGATATGCACTTTTTCCTTCCATAAAAAACATTTTTTCAATTTTGCTTCTCACCAAAGCACACATGTATAGTTAATTTTAAATGGTTACCATGTGACATGTAAAGACAAAAAAAAGTTGATTTATTTATTTATCAGATTGTATGGTCCATATTTATGAGATTAATTGACTTGCTATCTAGACCATTGATCTCAAAATTATTTATCAGATCGTGTGGTCCATATTTCATACTTATTTTATCAGATCGTAACATCTCATATACCATGTGTCTATATGGTCGAGTCTTCATGGTCAATTAATAGACAACCAACATTTTCAGCATTTCGTATATAACTACATTTA